TGACTCGAACGCACTATTTACTTTTAAAGCACTATTAATATCGTGACTTCATTTTAAAGCTTTTCTCATATTCCATCGGCCCTTTCTGGTTTATTTTCATTTAATATCATCCACATCTCACTGAAACAGATTATGACCCCTTCCCTGGCCGCAAGACGAAGAACCCTAGTGAGAGTATGTAAGGAATGCTAGCAAGATTTCCTACCATTTCTCTGCGGTACTTACAGTAGAAGCCCCGTGCGTCCCGTCATGTATGTTTGTATGTTGCGTAGCAGAGCATAAATTTTACAACAACCATTAGTTTACAAATAATCGTGAAGCTTATTTAGGTGAATACTTTGCTGTTTTGATTGTAAATGGAGTAATGAGATATAAGGAAAATTTTTGAGAGTTATGATGTACACAGTACTTTATAGGAAAATAGCTACAATAAACTTAATTTCTATCAAATGAGAAAAAAATCCACATTTTATTTTAACTCGCATCGCCTTAAAAATTATAATTGCGAATCGAGGTCTAATCTGATATCGATATTTCTGTCTTTAGAACTTGAGTTATTTCAAACATCTTTATTCATTCATTGCACTAAAATATCCTGATCCTTGAATTAAAACTAATTTGGAAGCACTTTTTCGACTCCAAACGCGAAAGATGAGTTTCAACCCTTTGCAGCCATTTTGTTCTCTATGGTGCAAACGACGCCTTTCTTGCGAAATACAGTAGTCAGCGGAATTACCACAAAAAAAATGTTCGCAACCCTTCTACTGACTGATCGAAGAGTGAATTTATTTTCCCACTAAACTCAACTATAAATCCCTCTAGCTACGTTATCATTCGTTAAAAATGAGTGAAGTTTGTGGAAGTACTTTACAACAATTACAGAATGCTAGATAAAGTCGTGCTGGGGTGTAGGGTTGTGTGGAGTGGTAGGGGGAAGGCTAGTTTGGCATATGCGGCTTTCGTTGTCGAGGATCCAAAGTATATATGGTTTTCAGCTGTTTTGGTCTCAAAACGGGTACAGATTTTGACCATTTTCGTTCAAAAAAGGTATGATGATTTTGTTAACACTACACAGAAAGTAGGTATAACAAGGTATAACAGGCTTTTGTAGTCGAAGAATACTTACGAGACATCTGAATCTAAAAGGCCTGAGCTTTTTGAATCCGTCCCGCTGGATAGCTAATCCCAAGGGCTGCAAACCTTTATAATGAATGAGTACCGCGTGCCCCGTTTGTTATCATTTATTTGCTTCTGTGAAGAACCTAAAGGTGATGGTCCGTCCATTGGAGAAGCGACATCAGTGCTTTCGAATGCGCTCTTTAATATGAAAAAGGGTTGCAATATACGACTGTTTAAGGAATAATATTGGTTACTGCATGGCAGGACTCCACCCCTAATTATAAATCCCTTGGAAAAAAAATAACGCTACCGTGCAGTGGATACCAGTCTGCTTGGGCTAGTCTTGGGTCCAGATCTTCTCACTCATCAAAGTGCGAAAAATCTGGGTCTGAGATAAGGAGCCGATTGAAGAGGTCTTCTAGAGTATACAGTGAAACCTCTATTTAACGGACACCCTTGGGACCCTGACTAGTGTCCGCTTAATACAGGGTGTCCGGTCAAAACAGGTTCTAATAGATTGTGCATTAATAGTTAATTTTTAACTCTCTTGTAACCCAGTGTAACACCGTGTAAGAACAGACTGCACATAGGAGAGTGTCCAGTCAGTCAATGCGTCAATCTGGAATAATCACTTAGCTTGAGAACGACATCGCTGAACAATGTTAAGGGAGCCTCAGCTACACCTTTAGAAGTAAAACGCTCTTGAAGTGTCCGCTTATTGCAGGTTTCGTGCAACAAAATGGCTTAATATTGGTGTCTGCGTCCGCTTGACAGAGGTGTCCGCTGAATGCAGGTTTATTTTACTGCAAATGAGGGAAGAAAATTTTGGGACTTCAGCTGGTGTCCAGTTAATAGAGAGTGTCAGCTTAATATGGGGTCCGCTTAATACAGGTTTCACTATATCAGCGATTGGTAACGAGGTCGGTAATCAGACAAGAAAACGCATTTAAAGTAAATTGGATTTAATGTCTACGTATGAAATATTCCTCTCTGTTTAGCCTTCTAAGCGAGTTATAGTGTCACTGGAGTTACGTACACGTAACTACAGAGTGGTACACAAAATTCATTGAACAGTAATAAACTAACATGTTACAGTGAGCCTTCTCACACGCGTGTTTGATTGACAACCTTTTATATTACTCCACAATCTATTTGAAATTATTGGTTACATTAACTGCCACTCTGACAAACTATGCATTCTGACATAGCCACAAAGTTTCAACTGCATTGTTCTGATAGGCCATTATAATAAATGTTAATGCAAAAAGATCCTTACTACAAATTTTTGTATTGTGGAATTTTACCCTTGGGGCGAGATTGGATAAATTGATTTCTACATTATTTTATTCTTCACTCAAATAGCGCTAAGTAGAATTCGCCAGAACCAATTGAACTGTTTTGCAAAAGATACAAACAATACAAGTCATATACATTTTTTTGAAACAAGCTAGTTGATATGTAAAATTAATTATTTTCATTTTCACTTAGGAGCAGTTTACGTGCCCTGAAAATTAATTAAAAATATTAATTTGTATCGGGATGAGCGCCGCTGCTCTCTAGTGTAAAGAAAGCGGGCTCATTTCTCCACCACGTTTTTCAGCAAGACAAATTTTTGTTAAACTTTTTTCCGTTTTTGCAACAATTTTTTGTTTCCTCCAATACAACTCTTTAAATGTGCAATACTAATGCAATTATTCAGTAAGAATATTTTAAGATAAAAGCTTAGGTATCAATAATAGACCTACTACGTTAGCAAACTGCCTGAACTAATAGCGAAACAATGTTAAATCGTAGGCAAAACGCTCCCAATCAGCATTAATCATCAAAAACTCATATTGATTGTAAGGAATAAAAGAGAATTTACTTTCCTTTTCCCAGTTGTACGATATATTTTTTGGCATGTTTGTACTAACATGACACGAGAGAGCGTCGTTATTGACAAGGAAAAAATTATTGCATAAATTCTCCCTTTAGGGTCCCATTACTAGAACAAGGTAAAAACTTGAAAAGAGCAGAAATCCAGTTTTGTGCTTGCGTTCTCGACGTCAACGGACTGAATGTAATTTATAATGCAATTACGTATGAAACCAGCTTACTTCAAATAATAATAATAATAATAATAATAATAATAATAATAATAATAATAAGGAAAAAACAAATTACAAAAGAAAACGAGATTTAAAATGCCTCATCTACACAAAATGTCTGCTGTCTTGTTAAGTGCAAAGCAGGGAAAAACAAGTCTTCGAAAAAAAAAGAATATAATTAACGTGGCTCAAGGCTGTTATTTTAAAGGTTACACAACGCTCTTCTCCGAAAAGAGCTGCGAGACCCAAATAACGGCTGCGAATAGAGCTTAAAAATATGATGATTCTCAGATAAATGTAACAACACGCTTATCGGCCTGCGACGTGCCTAGACCATCCAACATCATCAAAATACGCCCTCTCAACTAATCAATACCTAATCAAATAATCAATACAAGAAACATATAATACGGAGATTGAATTCGTAGCATAAAAAAACATTCCTGGTTATAATACATCTTTATATTTTCTCGCTGCCCAAATATACCAAAGAGCAAAAATATTTGGAGGTCTATTTCTATTACATTGTATTGTCAATTCAAATTTATATACACGCCTCACACTGAGTGAATAGAGAGTTTTCATTGAAATATTCTATGTTCACCATTTTGAACAGGTATAAATTTCAAACCTCTGTCGATACTTCTAGTCTATGAGGTTTGAATTTACACGGGGAAAAACTTTATTTTCCTGATTTCAAAAATAGAAGAACCATTCTCAGAACCACAACTGCTGTGGTACACATATCTTAAAGAATTTTGTTCTCCGGGCATCCATATTGGAACATTTTTCGGCCCTGAACCTGAAGGGCCATTGGAGTCCAATATTGATAGGGGTTCACATCTTCTGGTATTCTTGTTGGGTTCTCAGAACCACTGCCAGTCCTTGACCGTCCTGTTTTGCCGATGAATGCAAAGATACGTACTTATAGATGAGATTGGAAATTTCTTTCGCCTGGAAAAGAAAGTCAACATAAAGGGCCTCTCAGTCTCCATCTTAAGTTAATCAACGACAACAGATTGCTTAACCTAGTAGTCCCTTTCACGGTTACGTTTCCTCATTTGCATTGCAATATAATCCCGCACGTAAGGCAATTTCGAGCAATTTTGTTTCGGCCCAAAATTGTCTGGCAGCCATGTTGGATTACATTGTAATTTAATCGTGGACAGGGCTATTAACACGTGGAGAGGAAGATTACGAGACAAGCCCAAAACGTGTAACGCGAGCTAAGAGGCTGTAACGTTTCAAATGCACTCGTACTTACCTGGAATGTCTCCATGCGCGTGACCTTCTGCATCATAGGATTTCCAATCTTCAGATCTAAGAACTGTCTCTTCTTGTCCGATATTAAAAGCCTGGTGGAGATGATACTCATGAAGGGCTCGCTCAACAGAGTTTGCTGCAACAAGTTAACATCAAGTCAGACAAGGATGATTAAATGTGATCTGCATTATAACTACAATCGTGGACAAAAGTCTAAGGACAAATTTGCTCTTTTGACGCTTTTGCACACACGCCAGACGGAAATACAACGTCACCTGCCTAGCCTCTCCTCTCACTCCACATACAATGTTGAAAACTAGTACCTGCAATTTGTACTGAGTTTCAACATTGTATTGGGTGGGGAGGGGATAACAGAAATGCGATTTTTAAAGATAGTAGTGCTTTTCCAAACACAGATATTTCTTCAGTTCTACTACATCAGTGTCCCAGGGACTTTTCTCCATGATTGTAGGTGTCTGCAAAATCGTTTTAAGCAGAGTTAATGATTAAATAGTAAAACGCAAATCTTACGTAATAGCATCAAATGTTCTACTCTAGTCAGTCTTCACTTACCACTGTCGCGTGACTCAAGAAATGAACTCCAGTTCTATTGACTGCTAAAATACAGTCTCCTGAAACAGCGGGGTTACTGCATTTCTGAAAATAGTAATAGTAAATATGCAATCAAATTAAAACCAACCATACAAGAAGACTGAAGCGGGAGATAGTGTTTCATCACAAACTAAAACACCTCTGGTTTCGTCAAAAATACTCCGCTACCTGTTGTGTTTCGAACACTCATCTTGGTGATTGTTAAATGTGGTGGCACGCTTTCTCTCGTGTTTGATATTCTACATGAAAAATTACGTTGATTGAAAACCAGCTTTTAAAAAAGCCTTTCCAAAACTGGCCAAGAAATTCAAGAACCCCAAAGCAGAATCACTTCTTAGAGTGTTTCAAACAAAACAGAAATAAATAACGAATTTCGAATGAGGAAAGGCCGACCAATGGTTGTTTGTAATGACACACGTGTTGGTGGTGGTAGGATTAAAAATTTAAACTTGAGGCATAAAAGTTACAAGTTAAGCGTTACAAGTTAAGTGTCCTGAGCACTCAGTCGCTCTGCCTTCTGAAAGGCGAATACTGTGTGTCACTAAATTTTTGGGTTTTTTTCCACGATCCGCAGAAAAATAGTTCCCGCAAAAATTTTCTCCAATAGCAAAATTTTACCTTTAAGGTCCGGTAATACGGGCAACATTTTTCTTCAACTTGTCTCGCAACATTGTTGCATTGCAAGTTGAAACCCTCTGTTGCACGTATTACCACGTTTGTGACCAACTTGTCTCGCAGCAAAATACAGTGTTGCAGGCTGAGGCAACATGTTGTGCAAAGAAGACTCGAGTTCTACTTTCTGCAACAAATTTTTGTTTTGCTGCTCGCTTTAAGCAACATAAAAAGCATCAGTCACACAAAAGCACGATGTAATTGTGATAGTGACATAGATTACTGGATTACTGTGTTTTACATCTCTACATGTTGTTTCACTTGTCAATTGCAGCTTAATTAAAACACGCCACAATGTTTAAATTTCAATTAAACGCGACTTTCCAAAAACCGCAAAACTTAATACCCAGCAAGAAAAACCAGTCTTTTACAATCGCAGAAATTAGTTAAAATACAAAATACAAAAACAAAAAAAAAAACAAAAAAAAAATCGTCGATTCGCAAAAATAATCTCCCGCAAAAATTTAGTGCCGCACGATAGCTCCATGTGTGTATTTCCCTTGCACTCGGCTGGTCAAAACTAACCTTCACTTCAAAGAAAGTTGACCCAAAATATGGCCACCTGGTAACAGTTTCTGCAACAAAAATGGGAAGCTGGTGTTACTATCTGCACAAAATTTTTGCGATGTAGATGTTGGGGATCAGCTTGTTTTCTTTCATTGTCATTTTGAAACATCTTACTTTTTGGTACAATTAAAGAAAAAACCTCGCAAGCACAAGGTACGTTATCTAAAACTGCTAAAAGTTTTTACACACCAAGGAACTTCCGGCGTGACTGATGAGGGGAGAGTGTGTGACAGCTCCGGAAGTGATCTTGTATGAGAATCATCCACTGCTGAGGTCGTAATTTGTCAAGCATTCCTCTTGGTATCAGAGTCTCCACTTCAGAACTGAGTAAAGACAAACCAATTCACACGCTTAGTTAACTGATCTCTGGAAAGTATGCCGGCTTATTATTGAAGTTCCTATTTCGTAAATTTCATGTATTATTGCCAAATTCCAACAAATATACAAATAAATTGGAGAACGAGTAACTACTTTAGAAGAGACAGATAGTATAAATTACAGTTTACCAAATTTGATGTCGTGATGCCATTAAATCATGTCCTTAACGTTATCGTGATTGATCAGTGCAAAACTGATCTCTCAGAATGAAATCGAGGCGTTCACAGTTTTCAGACGTTCCACAGTAACACTGTCCCTTCCGACACAGAAATTATTGCACAAAGTTAATAAGAAATCAGACATACTGGTTTGCATGAAGAATCGAGTGATCACGAGCTCGATACTGAAGTGCTCCAAGCTCCGCAATCTGATTCTGAAACTGAAGACCAATGGAACCTATAAGGCCTAGTTCATACTAGCGACATGACGACATAACGACATAATCGCTTATGTCAGTCGTGTGAACATGTCATGTTGCTGTTATGTCATTATGTCAGGATGTTCACATTGCAAACATAACAACACAACGTCCTTCTTACGTCGTTAAGTTTATGTCGTTATGTCGCTAGTGTGAACTAAGCATTAGATTACAAGCAAAAACGGGATATTTACAAAAGAAGAATCAACAAAACTGCTGCTCATTAAGAGGAAAAGGTAATTAGACGCTTCCCTTCACCCGTTCAATTTTCCACTAACGTCTCACATTTCGCCTGAGAAAAACCATTCTGATGACGTACTTCTGTTCAGATCGGTGTGGAGACTCCGATTGGTTAATACTAGTGCTCGTAAATTCAAAACCCAGTAACAACCAATCGGAAGACACTACACGAAATAATGAAGAGTTACGTCATCGGCGTCAAATGTTCCAGGTCAAATCTTCATTAATATACATCTCTAGCACGGGGAAAAACTGAGTGTTCAAACAGAGAACTGTTCACCCGTATTTCCTGTAAGCACAAAATGACAAGAGGTAGATCAGGCCCTGGTTGTTCGAAAGGTGGATAACGCTATCCACCGGATAAATCACCATCTAGCGGATAGCGTGGTTTGTTTTGTAAACACTTATCCACTGGATAGTGATTTATCCGGTGGATCGCGTTATCCAGCCTTCGAACAACTGGGGCCAGAACAGTGTAGATCGTGATTAATCTGCTAAGTATTGAGACGTTCAGTTCGATGGAGAGAAGAGAGATAAAGAGAATAAACTGTTCCAAGAGGTTACCTGAGCATCGCCAAATGATCGACCGTGTGTTGCTAGTAGATACCCTGCCATATAGTCCGGTAATACCTGCAACAAATTATAAATTCACATAGGATTATGACAAACCTTTTTCCTTATTCCATACAGTGAGATATTCTAATGCCAACAGGAGTGTTTTGTGTGCTTTAAACAATGACTTTCAACGAATGGCATTTGCAGAACAAAAATTCTGGACAGTGTGCTCGCAAAGATGTCTTGCTTTTTGCGTGTTCTTTGTTTTTTCTTCGTGATTTACTTGGAATTTAAATCTGTTTATTCTACTATTTTCGTTTCACTAATTACGCAACCGTAAAGCACTTTTTGCTTTCCAATGAAACACCAAGCAGAAAAAAAAAAATTGCGTTAAAACAAAAAAAATTCACCATGATTGTTAACAATATCAGTGGCTCGTGTTGTATACTGCATTGGTATTAATTCACGTTTGGCGCCGATCATCCATTATCCACGACAAAGCCGCCAGAACCTGTCTGACCGGTTTTTACCTGATGGTAGATGACGCTGACCAGCAGCTCATTATCAAGTCTCAGGCCTTGTAGCCACAACACACGGCGGAAACACAAGCTGAAGGCGAATTCCTGTCGCTCCATAGAACTAACCACATCCATAATGTAATCTGTGGTCTGAACTGGCACCATTACGTTTTCTATCAAACACAATAGGGAAGTTAACAGCAGCACAACACAATAAGACAAACAAGACAGACTAGTACACGATCTTCGCTATGACTGATGAAGGAAACATGGCAGTTTTTTTAGACACAGAAAACACCACACGATAAAACTACTACTCTCAAGACATTTAAAGCCATTGCTCTTTATTGCAGACTTACGTGCTTCCATGAAGGTGAAAAGTCCGTACTCTTTGTAATGATTTTCTGACATCAAATCCATATCATTACATATTTCCTTGATGACGTCAAAACCAGTCTAAAGGAAAACAATTAACCAAGTGAGTACTTTGACCAACTGTCCTTTTGAGCAAAATAGCAGTCAAAATATCGTTTCCAAGAGCTCGATCAACCCTTCGATAACGAGTTTCGCGTGAAGTTCGGAAGGGAAACAAGTGTGGTGTGCCGTGTCAAAACAGCGACTCCAATAGAAAGAGCTCGTCACATAGTAAACTTGAAATGTCTAAATCCTGGTTTGACCTTGTTCTAAACCGCTGTCTGACACTACTCCTTAAGTGATTGGGTGCAGCGTAGGTGAAAATGCAAATGAACAACTACACCATTACTAACGTTAACGAAATAAATCAACTGGTACTCACTGAACTGGTTTGAACTTTCAACATTCGAGTTCCTCCAGGGAGAACAAAGACCTGTCGTTTGGTCTGTCGTCCTTGCTACAAAAAATAAGAATAATACAAAATTCACTACAAATAAATTAATATTCAGAGAGGAAGCCACATGAGCCTGATCAGGTTTTCACGCGGCTCCTCCATCCTGATCGAATTGGAAGTTGGAAATGTTGGTTTTTCAGGAGGGAGAAAAGCCGGAAAACTCGGAGAAAAATCCTGGGAGCAAGGCGAGAACCAACAACAAACTCAACCCACATATGACACCGGGCCAGAATTGAACCCACATTGGTGGGAGGCGAGCGCTCTCACCACTGCGCCATCCCTGCTCCCAATTAAGCTGTGTATATTTCAGTTTTAATACTCACCACTAGTTGGCTTAATTCTTCTCTGCTGGGAGGTGTTTTTCTTCCACCATACTTGAACGTCTTCATTAAATTCATTTCACACGTGGCTGCCGCACCTTAAACACAAGAAACATTCCATTTGAACTCTTCACCCTGGAACAGGAGCAGGTTAACTGAGATATCTTACCGATGGCGCATCTTGAAACATTCAGCCTAAGTTTTTCATTCACAATCTCATTATTTATACGTAGCCCCCCTCATTTTTTCTCTGTTTATCGTTACCTCTTTTTTCAATATACAATACATTTAAGCATTACAAAGAATGTCTTAATTCACACTTTCATTTCAACTGTGGTGTACAGTTTATGCCAACACGGTTCCAAAAAAATAAACCAGTTAAATCATTGAAAGCAAAAGATGTTCATGAAATCGTCAAACGCCTCGTTTACGTTTAACACACAAACTAACCATGAAACTCTCTTTTGGGATCACTAGCCGTGCTCTGTAAGAACGTGACCAGATAAGGCGTGAAAACATCTGAACACTCAATGTAAGCTGTGATGATTATCAGCAGTCGCCAGCCTCGACTTGCGCTCTCACTACAACACAAACATTACACGAATTAGTTCCCTCCAGCCTTCAAAATGAGACAAATCACGCATGGAAACATGAGACGTGTCACGGAGTGGTAGCCCTATTAGACAAATCACGCAACGAAACACGAGAAATGTCACGGAGTGGTAGCCCTATTAGACAAATGACGCAAGGAAACACGAGAAGAGTCACGGTGTAGCAGCCCTATGAGACAAATCACGCAAGGAAACACGAGGAGTGTTACGGTGTCGTAGGCCTTTTTCCCTTTGCCTATATACTGTTGAACTTCACTGTGTTGGTGCGATTTCCAACGAGACCATGCAAAGAATATAAAGGACTGAAATAGGTTGGTCATTTTTGTCAACGAGCTGCAAAACATCGAGAATTCAGCGAAGTATACCCGTCTCCCCTCCCGTGTTTACTGATGGCGCAACTGAAGAAATCTGCGACGCAGTAAGGAAAACAAGAACATCGATGGCAAACAAGGTTTACGCCAAGAATCTGTTGTACTTACGGCTTTTGGCTCTTATTGCTGGTGACTTGCTTGATGAGTTGACAGTAAACCTCGTCTCTTAGGTCTGGGATTTCACGGCACGTCTACAAATGAACCACATGATAAGAATACGCTGTTAGTATGCAGGTTGACCGATAAAATCCACGTCTCTCTAAAATCTTCATTTGTCTGTTTTTAGACATCTTCTTTCAAGCCTAAATTTAACACAGTCACTGAAACGATGGGCTTGGTACGCCACGAATGCATAGGGAATAGGCCATATTCGTATTCTCGGTATAGGACTGGAACTAGCTTGAAGTAGAGGCTCATGCGGGAGAGTTTCGTTTGCAGTTGAATAGACTCCCCACATCAGCCTCAGTTGCAAGCTAGTTCCAGTCCAATGCCGAGAATACGAATATGGCCTATTGAACAATTGTTATCCCCCTCGAGGTTATCGCCTCGTTACTGGGTTTGCCAACGACCTACGAGACTAAAAGAAATCTTGCACAGTTTCGCTTCAAACTCTTACAAGCTTTAAAGCAACGGCAACCGGAGGTGGCGCTGAATTTTTGCTTCAAATCGCCGTGAAATTCTTGGGTCACCATTGTAATGAAATTTTCGAGGAGTATAAGGGACGAGCCTTTCACATTTTACGAATTGAGCTTTCAAACAGACGCTTGAGCATTTTGAGGATGAATCATGACAAGATCGCTTGGTTCGTCCTTGCTATTGCCTTCAGTATAGATGACAAACACACTACTGTTGTAAGGATGAATTAGGTGTTTAAACCCACCTTCAACAAGTTGAACACAATCTCTGTCTCTTTTAGATGCTTGGACATCGGTAAGTCTCCCATGAACTTCATGATCACTGCAAAATAACAAAACGTACAGCACATTGTCATAAAGGTAAAGAGGTAAATTCTACGTCAGGCCAGTGGCCCATCAGGCCGGAGCTTATCCCGGTATTTGTAGCATGAAGCGACTAGGTGTGTTTCTACTCCCCCCTGAATGGGATGTTAGTCCGTCATAGGATAACTGACCCCCAGCAAAATTCACTGGTACACATTTATACACCTGGGTGGAGAGAGACACTGTGAGAAAGTGTTTTGCCCAAGAACGTAACACGATGTCCCCGACCAGAGCTCGAACCCGGACCGCTCGATCCGGAGTCGAGCGCACTAACCATGAGGCCACCGCGCCTCCCACATTCACACATAGTCATTAATAACGACTAAATCTTGAACTGTTCGGTATAACAATGAGACAGCACCAAGTCAATATTTTAGGTGACACTCACGGTCAACGATATTAAAATCGAACGTTGGTTATAAAGTTGCGGTAACAGTAAAAGTACAGATTGGAAAGATGAGCTAGGGAGCTGTAGTTTGCATGTTGAATCTTGAACTATTAACTCCAGCAATGGTTTTCATTTACATTACTGTAATGTACTTACTTTGGAAAGTCTCCACTGCTAGTTTATTGAGCTGTGTAGAGTCAAGCCTCACAAGTGATGTTTGAATTGGGACCTAAACAAAGAAAGCGATTCAATAAACAGTTATCAACTGCTTTAAGGACAATTTCTGAAAATTATGCGGGATTAATTAATTACTTGGGATAAAAGTACGTGCGCGAAACCATGTAACCCGTGGAAAACGTGGGGAAATATGGGCAAACAGGTAACCAGCGAAAAAGCGCGGAAACCATGTAACTAATGGAAAAGCGCGGGAAACCGCATGACCAGTGGAAAAGCTCAGGAAACTGCGTAACCGCTGGTAAGTACGGGAGGAAGTCGTGTATTCGGCAAACTTATGTGAATCAAAAGACACACCACCACACCTAACAACTATAAGATGAGTACGAACTTACCCTGCTGTACTTGACGAGTTCAGCTAATCCACTCCACGTCCACTCTGCTTTATCTTTCTTATGACTTGCTGTTTGTGCAAACAAAGAAAATGAACTTTAAACACCCCACAAGATAACAACAAGTTGACGCTGTCCAGGGATATAATTCTAAGAAAAAAATAAACCCCCGCACAGGAACTTCTTGGAAACATGGCGTCCCCTTGCAGCGTCATGTCCGTTTCAGAGTTTTGGTAACAAATTCGCAAGGGCCTTTTTTGTGGTTATAGAAATACTCAATATTCGAGTTTTTGCACCAAACTTACCATGAACAGCTTTTGTAATTGAAAGACTACATTCTGGATCTTGTAACTTAGTAACTTAGCAGCACATTCAGTAAAACGAAAAAACACACTAACCTTTGGACGATCGTCCCAGAGTTCCTCGCACCTTAACTGTACCTCGGATGGTACCGTCCTCGGCCCGTACCAGAGCGTCTCTGTAAAAATACAGGCAGAGCATCGCCAAGGTCAAATTTCTACTTAACAATTAGATTATGAGCTTGAGATTTTGATAGCGTGATAGTTGACGAGGGTGCCGCTACGAGTCGAATATCACGCATAGAAATAGAGAGTAGTATATTTCTGATAGTATTCGAATACTCTAATAGTTTTAGTATAAATCTGCTATAGTTGTTCAAAATTTCACAGACACTTCGAAAACGCTAAAAGGGGCCGTCATCTTGTTACCAACCGCACACTGCTGGGCTACTCGCCATCTACAGCAGAATAGCTAGAGAGTAGCGTCGCCAATCAAAGAACGGCATTCCGAATAGAACGCTAGTAGATTTTATACGAATTAAAAAAAAGATAAAACAGCGGCACACAAACAAATCCCATAGATAAGTGCACCGCGTGGGTTGTTTTCAGTTTCAATTATTTGCGACTTGGCCCTAAGATAAGACAAGAACCTTTAAGTATCAAATGTATTTAGCCCTAGCAGACTAATTGGGCCACTAAACAACAGCCTTAAGTACTAACACTCATCTTTACAAATCCATAAGTTATGGTTGGGTTTAAAATACCTAAAACACGAGCACACAATTTTTCACCACCACCACTACTCACCTTCCATATCTGAAGTAATGCATGGCAAACTCCATCATGGAGTGTTTATCGGAATTATATTGTGAATTGTCAGACTTGGTGGACTTGACACTTCCGGTTCGGCCACGTGACTCGCCAGACATCGGTCCGTCCGAGTCCAGACTGAGCAAACTCCCCACAGAAGCCGCTTTCACCAGATTACTAGGACGTACTGCGGGCACCGCTTGAGGGTCCTGAAGGTCACACAACAAATTCAGTCACTTCTGGTTTTTCAAGTTCAGTTTTTGAAATGAAATCGGCTCAACTGCGAGCCGGAGAAAAAGGGAGTTCTAAAAGCAAGCACGACGACGAAGCTTAGGACAACGTTGAGGTTACCGTTGTGGTTTCTTAAACTCTCGTTTTCAAGCTCAAAGTAGGAAGCTGGCGAGGGGTAGGGTGCATTTTTCGCAAAAAAAAAAAAAAAAATCAGGATTACATTGCGAGAGGAGAGATATTTAAGAAAATCACTGAAACGTATTTTACTTTTTACAAAAAGAGTTTATTGCAAAAGCAAGTTTGTGTTTATCGGCTTTCCAAATACCCCGGTCCTGATTACCCGATTCTCGCTGTGTTAACAGGCTGGCCGGTACGCATTAAAGAAAGAACACTAGGAAATATAATGAAAGTCACTTATCAATATGAAAGTCGTCATATTGATATGTCGTAAGAAGAATTCAACTGCATCTAAATGATAAATGAAAGGCGTGAACGGAGAGCACATACTAAGGCTTTAGAAACGGGAGTGGAAGAATGAAGACCAGAGTTGTTTCCAGGAAGTGACGGACGTCTGTCAAGAGCAATGAATACCCTGCCATTCAACCTGGGTTTAAACAGCTTAGAAGAAAGAACAAGACAAGAAGAAGGACACAATGAGAGATACCAATAGTAGAGGAATGAACAACAGTAAGACTAGCAGACTTCTTAAGACTTTCTTCGGGGATAGAGATCAAACATAGAACATTAAGGGTTAGAGTCGCAGAAGATGATACATTGCGATCATTGACAAAGCGACAGATTCCTCACTCGCCCTACAAGATGGATCAAGAAAAAAAAAGATCACCGAGTTACAGCTAGAAGGAACTATACGTTACCTCTTGAATGTGTGTGACAAAATCGGCTGGAAAATACCCGCTTTGGTTGTTAAAGATGCCAAAAACCCAGCCTTCCTCCAGGTCATCTTTGTGAACGATTTTGATCACGTCACCTTTCTTGAAGTTAAGAAGTGCGGACTCTTGTGACACATGATCGTACAAAGCCCGTACGTATTTCACCTCCTAAAAAAAAAATCAAGAAGATGGTAGATTAACGCCCTGTCCACACTGCGCCAGAGAAATTTGAAAACGAAGGTTCACTCTGAAAACGTACGAAATGTTTTCCGTCCACACTACGCCGGAGAAATTTCAAAACGTAACAATCAATGGTCATTTTGAGTTTGTTTTTGAGGAAAACTCGGGAAGCGAAATCAAACGATTATCTTGATGTCACTGTTTACGAAAAACGCCGTTTTCAAAATGCTTTCTGTCCACACTAAAACGCAAAGCGGGCGTTTTCAAATTCCTACCGCTCCGGTTTGAAGAGCGTTTTCGAAAAGCTTCGTTTTCGTGCGGGATAAGTGCGGACTGTAGGCCTAATCGTAGACATGAAGCTGCGTTTTCAATTTTCTCCGACGTAGTGAGGACGAGGCCTAAATTTTAATTTTTCTTTCAGATAGTATAAGCGCTGTGATTGGTCATTTGTAGCGTTGTATTTTACAGTATGACCCACTTCCCGCGCTCTTGGTCTGACATTTTCTCTTTTCTTCAGAGCCAGAGACATCGTACTCAATTTAACAGAGGAACGTGTGAAGACAATGCGCCTAGATCAAACTTTTGAAATTGTAATACCGCTTAGAGAATTCATAACTGAGAAAAAAT